CCTGTGCTGCAGCCTTTCTTTCTGCTATACTTTCTATAATGCTCTGCATAGACCTAATTACCAAAGGAATCAGACATGGCAGAAGGAGACACAACATCAAAAATCAGTATGACTCCACCTACCAATGCCTTGATTCCTCCAAACTGCTCATACCAACTACCAAACCAACTACTCGGATTATACCCTTTCCATACCTGAGTAGGTACATGTGCTAGCTTAACCATATGGCTAGTAAGCTCAGCTATTGCTTGCCCTTCATCATCTATTTGAAGACAACAATTGCTTAGATTAAACTTCCCACATACACCTCCCTCTACTGCCAATAGGTAATCCAAAGCTAATCTATTCTGGTAGATGGCTGTCCTCATCCTAGTGTTATGCTTCGCTAGGAGATTGAGCGCTTGTGATGTTTCATTGGTAACTATCTCAACTACTGCTTGCAATCTTATAATACGATTAAGCATATATATTGGGGTTCTGTATCCATAAGTACCATCCTCTGCCCACGTAGCTGGCCCATAATAATCTATAATACGCTGGGGAGGCCACTCATCTTCCCAGGTACTTATCTCTAGGGGTGCCCTTTTCTTCCTATGATTTACATCATATACTTTAACTCCCAAAGTCTCTCCTGTTTCAATTGGCAACAAGAAGAAGGATGGTTTGAGCATACCCAATACACATGCCCCTTCCCAGTCTTGTGGTAACTCCGAATATGCCTTCTTACCACAAATCCAGTACAATTTTGCTGGGGCTCTCCAACTAGATGTAGCAGATAGGTCAAACCATACATCCTTTAAATTGGTATAATTTGCAAACGGATTAGACGGTTCTGAGACATTTGAAGCTGACCACCAAATAGTATCCTTTGTATCGTCATTATAGGCTTTCTGCCCTAAACAAGTCAATTCTCCTACAGATGTATTAAACATTATTCCTTTCCTTGCTATACAAACATAACCTATAATGGAGGTCTTTAATCGCCACTCAGATTTACCTCTAACACTCACTTGATTATCAGATTGCATATTAGTTGTTCAACTGTCTCAGAACCAGAATACATTACCTCCTTTGCTTCCCAAGGTCATTAGTCTCCCATATTAGTACCTCCACACACATAGCAGTTGGTTACATTAAGACTATCAGCAATGCTCTCAGCTAGGTTATTGAATAAGTTTTTGGCATTATGGGGAACCTTATCTTCCACACTCATCTCCTCATAAAAAGAATGGAAAGCCTGATGAGTCTGGGGGGCCACTGTATCTGTCTCTATTCCTATGTATAATATCGTCCCAAGATCCAAACCTGTTTATATTTGGAACCCAAATAGATTCCCAAACTTATCTATAAATAGCTCTGGGTCCTTGATAAGTATATGGACTGGGTTACACTCCATAGACTTACAATATGGCTTGGTAGGTGATCTAGTGATAATCATATCCTTATCTACTGTCTGTCCCCAGGTTGCCCATCCCACACAGGACCAATACAGACAATAATTGTAGTCTTTATTTAGGCAGTTTGGATCTATATACTTATGCTTATTACTAGAACAAATATACTTATCATTAGACCCATACGTTCTTTCCCATTTAAGACCACCACATACATTCCATGGCTTCCTACTACCTGATATCGCCTTACATGCATCAAATAGCAAAACACCTGGAGAATGTACGCTTTCTAGTACAGTCTTATTTATCAGGTTCCCCTGTGCGTTCTCATTCCGAATAGTCAACCAAATTGTACGGGGCTGATACTCAGGATTAAAACACCTAGGTTCTCCTGCTCCTATATGGCATACACTATAATCTGTACCTAGGTATCTACACTTTGATACATGTCCTGTGCACTCATATTGCGAATGCCAAATAAGGGTCTGGGAAATATGGTTGCCTGTTTTTGTAGTCTTGATGCAAACCTCGCAGCCTGGTGTGTCGGTACCTCTACCTTCCTGAATAATTAAAAACACACATATATACATCATCAAACACATTACTCCTGACATCTTCTTCCTAATTCTTCGACCGTGTGACGGCACCTCAGCTTCCAGGCGTGTGAGGGCTGCAGGGAATGGAGTCCTTCTGATCCTCACTGTTCTTCACAGAGGATTCCTCTGGCTTAAACGTTGGTAGATGGTCAGGCTTTATTGTGGCCGTCAAAACACTTACTGGTAGATCTTTGTTGATGTTCCCTTGTAACAATACTCTTCGCAAAAAACACTTTTAATCTAACTGGGTCACTCGCTTCAACCGGATCTTGGAGGGATTCTCAGGATCTTGAGTAGCTTGTCAAGAATCTGCTGCTGGTTTAACCCTGGAGTGATGAATCCACGGAGTCACCTCTGCCACCTTTATAGCTGTTGGAGTAGACAAAAGAACAGCATAAGGACCCCTCCACTTTGGCCCCAACGGTACACTGTTCCACTCCTTTATCCAAACTTGGTTTCCTGGATGGTAAGAATGGACAGGTGGATAAATATTTACAGGTAACCTATCTTGTACCCATTTCTGTACCTCCTCCATAGTTTTACCCAACTCTACAACCTGCTGCCGAGTAATTCCTTCTTTCACATAGCTACTACCATCCGTATAATACTGTACATCCGGGTTCTGAATGGGAAAGTCACGAAGGTCCGGTTGGCTTGAAAAACACCTCATCCATTATCTCCAAACAATCATGTTTACTTTCATTACGTTGTGGCAAAAGGGTAGCTGGATTCAGGGTATTAACAGTTTCACATAGAATGGCTTGATATTTAGTCATTTGGCTATTGCTAATCCAATGATTACCTTTATAGTGTAGCAACGTCTGTACTGCATGCGGCACTCGCACATAGAGTCCCTGACCCAGAGTGAGCTTGTCAGCTTCTGCTACCAACAGGGCGGCGGCAGCTACGGCCCTTAGACAAGGAGGAAGACCACTGGCTACTGCATTCAGTTGTTTGGACATATACGCAACAGGTCGTTGCCATGATCCCAGATACTGTGTCAGTACTCCCACAGCCATCCTTCTTTGCTCGTGTACATATAAGTAGAATGGACGTGTATGATCAGGTAGACCTAATGTGGGGGCGCTCATCAATGCCTTCTTAACATCCTCAAATGCCTTCTGCTGTTCGATGGTCCAAGGAATCATGTTCCGTGCCTTTAATAGAGGCATAGAGGGGTTTCACCAGTATTGCATAACTGGGAATCCATATCCTACAGAAGCCTGCTGCCCCCAAGAATTCTCACACTTGTCTTCTGTTCTTTGGTGTTGGTATTTGGCATACAGCCTCTTTTCTTTCAGGCCCCATTATCCTTTGACCTTCAGAGATATGGAATCCCAGATACTTGACAGTTGGCTGACACAACTGAGCTTTCTTCCTGGACACCTTGTATCCTGCCTTCCAAAAATGTGCAGTAAATCATAAGTTGCTTGCTGGCATATCTCTTTAGTAACTGCTGCTATCAACAAATCATCCACGTATTGTAGTAGTACACATTCTCCTGGGATGGACTTGAAATCTAATAAGTCCTGACTTAATGCTGATCCAAATAGGGTAGGTGAATTTTTAAACCCCTGGGGCAATCTTGTCCAGGTCATCTGACGTTTCGAGCCCGTTACAGCATCTTCCCATTGTATCTTCCCATTGGAATGCAAAGATACACTGGCTTGAATGTATGAATACATAGAGTAGATTCCTTATATAGCACTGTAGCCCCTCCCATAATTAGCTACGCCCACACATACCCTTAACCTAATCAATGAATAGAGTCTAAACTCATCCATCCAGTCTAACCACATGGCTCATCTGAAACAAAGGAGAGGGATGCGTAATTCCAGTTCCTGCATTCCTGCACATGCTCAGTACAGTGATGACAGTATCTTAGCTACGTGTAACTAACTAACTGATACTACAAACACATGTACCTACATATGCCTTGTGGCAATCTTGGCCTACTAAACTTTTATTTTACTGGAATTCCATCACAATATAGCGCAAATGCCAGGTTTTGTTTACATTTTTTTTTGTTCACAACATGTACATTTGGCTCAGTCCTTAAGGGGTTAAATACATCACAGCTTAAATGCATCACAGCTTAAATGCATCACAGTAAAAAAGCACAACTGCATAATATGCCACAGTATAAAGGCACTCTAATATAAAAGGCACCCTAAAATAACAAGAACAAATAAAGTAATGAAGAGAAAAAAACATACATGTCCGTAAGTAAAGGGAGCAAATTGCTCACATCCTAAGGGCTGTAGGACAGGAAAAAGACTGGGGACCTTGGGAATGGAGCCTCCTTTAACCCCTTAAGGACCAAACTTCTGGAATAAAAGGGAATCATGACATGTCACACATGTCATGTGTCCTTAAGGGGTTAAAAGCCTTTAGTGTTTTTCCTGTCCTATTGGCTGTAAGGGGCGGAGCAAACCCATATGTATATTCTGCCATGATTAGCCAGGAAATAATAATTGTAGGTATATATTTATGTAATAATTTTACATAATTAGGTCATTTTATTAATTACAATTTGTGGGACCTGCCTGACAACCCAGGCCAAAAGTTCAGGGAATTTAATTTGCTATAACTATATTTAACCCTGTAACTTTCCAAGACACCATAAAACCTGTACATGGAGGGTACTGTTTTACTCGATAGACTTCGCTAAACACAAATATTAGTGTTTCAAAACAGTAAAATTTATTTCAATGATGATATCGTCAGTGAAAGTGAAATGTTTTGCATTTTTCACACATAAATGGCACTTACACAGACAATATTATCATTGTGATACGTTTTACTGTTTTGAAACTCTAATATTTGTGTTCAGCGAAGTCTCCTGAGTATAACAGTACCCCTCATGTACAGGTTTTATGGTGTTTTCAAAAGTTACAGAGTCAAATATAAGGCTTGCGTTTCAGTTTTTTCACATTGAAATTCACCAGATTGGTTATGTTGCATTTGAGACCGTATGGTAGCCCAGGAATGAAAATTACCCCCATGATTGCATACCATTTGCAATAGTAGACGACCCAAAGTATTGCAAATAGGGTATGTCCAGTCTTTTTTAGTAGCCACTTAGTCACAAACACTGGCCAAAATTGGCATTCAACTTAGTTTTTTGCATTTTTCACACACAAACACATATATACAAACTAACTTTGGCCAGTGTTTGTGACCAAGTGGCTACTAAAAAAGACTAGACATACTCCATTTGCAATACCTTGGGTTGTCTACTTTTGCAAATGGTATGCCATCATGGAGGTAATTTTCATTCCTGGGCTACCATACGGTCTCAAAGGCAACGTAATCAATCTGGCGAATTTCAATATGAAAAAAATGAAAAATGGTTCATGCTATATTTGACCCTGTAACTTCCCAAAAAAACTGTACATATGGGGTACTGTTTTACATGTGAGACATCGCTGAATACAAATATTTTATTGCAGTAAAAGCAAACAGCATTATGACATTCACAGTTAGAATGTCACGTAGAACTAAATTTTTTTTTTTAAATTCTTATTTTCTCCCATTTTTTTTAATTTTATTCATATTAAATTATGTTTCATACCTAAATATTTAATGTTTTCCCTGAATAAAGTGATATATAATATAAAGTGTGGGTGCACATAATATGAAAGAGGCGAATATGCCAGACATATAACGCAAATTTAAGTTCTTGTTTATGTTTTGTTTTGATCACAACGTGTACATTTGGCTCAGTCATTAAGGGGTTAACCACTATTTCTTTGTCATTGTAACATACCTGGGCGTGCTTGTTCTTTAATGTGTTTATTCATACATACATATATTTTGTAGTTTGTCTCGTTCTGCATGCTAAAGCTAGTTGTTCCCTGCCCTACTCATCATGGTTTGTTAACTTAAATGTTATTCAACTATCTGCTTATCGCTAAAGACTTTCTCTGTTATTTCTGTCCCTCCCCCCCTTTATTTTATTGATATCCACCTGAATGGTCTTGCTTGACCAATCCTCACCTCCTCTGTGCATCTCCATTCCACAGTTTTATCACAGGCCTTTTTTTTTTACCCTATCCTCTGTCTTTCCACAGTCTGAGATTTAAAAGTTCCCTACAGCAAACCAGGACATTGCTCAGAGGCCCGTCCACCCAAAGTTCCTTACTACATATAGATAGAATATCACACACAACTTTAGATAATTAAACATGACAGCTGCAAACATTGCCACTAATCAGCACACTCAGGGCCGGCGCTACCTGTTAGGAGGACTAGGCAGCCACTGAGGGCGCCCCTTGGGAAGGGGCCCTGCCAGGAGCGCCAGCCCCCCTCATGCTGCAGCCGCCCGAGCGCACTGTAGAGAGCCTCAGGCGGCTGAAGCTTTGCCCGGGCTGGTGCGTCCATGAGGGCGCACCGCCCGGGCGCAGCATGAGGAGAGGGCCTGACAGGAGGGAAGCGCTCAGCATCTGTCTCCTGTACCCGGCCGGACTAACAGGACTCAGTGTGCACTTCCTTTTAGTCCGGCCGGGTACAGGAAACAAAAGCTCCCTGTACTCGCGGACCATACAGTGCTCGGCCACGCTACAACAGTGGTGGGGGATAAAGAAATCGGAGAGGGGGGGAGAAGGAAACTGGAGATGGGGGGGAATAAAGAAATTGGAGAGAGGGGGGATAAAGAAATTGAGAGAGAGGGGAAGGAAACTGGAGAGGAGAGGGGGAGAAGGAAATTGGAGAGGGGGAGAAGGAAATTGAGAGGGGGGGAAGGAAATTGAGAGGGGGAAAGGAAACTAGAGAGAAGAAGGGAGGGGAAGAAGGAAATTGGAGAGGGAGGGGGGAGAAGAAAGAAATTGGAGAGGGGGGGAAGAAGGAAATTGGAGATGGGAGGGAGAAGGAAATTGGAGAGGGAGGAAGGAAATTGGAGAGGGGGGGAAAGGAAATTGACGGAGGTGGGGGAGAAGGAAATTGACGGAGGTGGGGGAGAAGGAAATTGACGGAGGTGGGGGAGAAGGAAATTGAGGTGGGGGAGAAGGAAATTGACGGAGGTGGGGGGAGAAGGAAATTGACGGGGGGAGGGGGAGAAGGAAATTGACGGGGGGAGGGGGAGAAGGAAATTGATTTTTGTAACCACAGTTACAAACCGCCTCCAGAGAGTCTGTTCTACACCAGACCAGTGGAGCCAGACTGCAGCTAGAGCCCATCATCATCCTCATCTGGTTGTAAGTAGGCAATCTAGTATTTTATTCGTGGCACTAATCTCTAATTTACCTCACATTAAAGAAACCCTATAGACCCCAGAACCACTGCAGCTTAATGTAGTGGTTCTGGTGTCTATAGCCTGTCCCTGCAGGCCTTTTAATGTAAACACGGCGGCACTGCAGCACTGGCGTTAGTTAACATGGCAGATCATATGGGTGCAGCATTGTGATGTCACATGGGAGGGGAGGGGGGGAACTTTACTTTTGCCTAGGGCGGAAAAAAATCCTTGCACCGGCCCTGAGCACACTCCTTCATTCCTTTAACCCCTAACACTCCTTCATCACTCTCCTTACTTCTGCTCATTCTGCTTTCCTCAAAGTGCCTACTAATAGGAGCAATGCTCTATCTTCTCATCTCCTCTCACTCAGCATCAAAGTATCTCCTTACACCCACTTCCCTCAACAACGCCATTACATTAACATTAATCCCTCTCTGCTTAACACCCCCCTTCTCTCATCTCAAGCCATGCACCGATTTCTCTATTCTCGCTCTCCTGCTCAATCTCATCCTAGACCCCGCTCATATAAAATTGAAAGCCCTGTTTCCCCTGACTAAAATTATATATAATAAGGGTGTGTGCATTTAATATGAAAGAGATGATCACACTTCCTCTCATTATCTCTCCTCCTACTTTTAGCAGCTGGTGATGTCTCACTCAACCCAGGGCCCTTCACCTTGTCTGCCCACACTAAGACAACCAGAAACCACACAAATCTCATCCACATACCCTGCAGTTTATCCTTCTTTACAAACATTCAGTGTGCACTCTGGAACGCCCGTTCAATCTGTAGCAATATTAAATCAACAGCAATACACGACCTTGTCATCTCTAACTCACTCGCAATACTGGTCACCCCCCTCTGATACCGCTACATAGAAACATAGAATGTGACGGCAGATAAGAGCCATTCGGCCCATCTAGACTGCCCAGTTTTCTAAATACTTTCATTAGTTCCTAGCCTTATCTTATAGTTAAGATAGCTTTATGCCTATCCCATGCATGCTTAAAGGATCACTATAGTGTCAGGAAAACAAATTGGTTTTCTGGGCACTATAGTACGCTGAAGGTGCCCCCACCCTCAGGGTCCCCCTCCCATGGTGCGGTTACTTACCTTCTTCCATCGCTGGGCTCCCTTACCTCTCCTCCCCTGCCGACGTCAGCTCCCCCTTCTGACGTCAGCGGAGTGGAATGCGTATGCGCAGCAGTGCCACGTGCAAATTCAAAGTGTCCATAGGAAAACATTTTTCAATGCTTTCCTATGGACGCTCTGCGTGATGGAGGCATTAAATGCCTCCAGCGTCGCAGATGCGCCTCTAGTGGCTGTCCGGAAGACAGCCACTAGAGGCTGGCTTAACCCCAAATGTAAACATAGCAGTTTTTCTGAAACTGCTATGTTTACATCAGGCAGGGTTAACCCTACAGGGACCTCGTACACAGACCACTTTATTGAGCTGGGTGGTCTGGGTGACTATATTGTCCCTTTAAACTCCTTTACTGTGTTAACCTCTACCACTTCAGCTGGAAGGCTATTCCATGCATTCACTACCCTCTCAGCAAAGTAATACTTCCTGATATTTTTAAACCTTTGCCCCTCTTATTTAAGACTATGTCTTCTTGTTGTGGTAGTTTTTCTTCTTTTAAATATAGTCTCCTCCTTTACTGTGTTGATTCCCTTTATGTATTTAAATGTTTCTATCATATCCCCCCGTCTCGTCTTTCCTTCAAGCTCATACATGTTAAGATCCTTTAACCTTTCCTGGTAAGTTTTATCCTGCAATACATGAACCAGTTTAGTAGCCTCTCACCAGTGTTCTGTACAATGGCATGAGCACTTCCCTCTTTCTACTGCTAATACCTCTCCCTATACAACCAAGCATTCTGCTAGCATTTCCTGCTGCTCTATTACATTGTCTGCCTACCTTTAAGTCTTCAGAAATAATCAATCCTAAATCCCTTTTTTCAGATGTTGAGGTTAGGACTCTATCAAATATTCTGTACTCTGCCCTTGGGTTTTTACGTCCAAGATGTATTATCTTGCACTTATCCACATTAAATGTCAACTCTGACCATGTTTCTAGTTTACCTAAATCATTTGCCATTTGGCTTATCCCTCCTGGAACATCAACCCTGTTACATATCTTAGTATCATCAGCAAAAAGACTTACCTTAACATCAAGACCTTCTGCAATGTCACTAATAAAAATATTAAAGAGAATGGGTCCAAGTACAGATCCCTGAGGTACTCCACTGGTGACAAGCCCAAGCTTCGAATATACTCCATTGACTACAACCCTCTGTTGCCTGTCACTAAGCCACTGCCTTACCCATTCAACAATATTGGAATCCAAACTTAAAGACTGCAATTTATTGATAAGCCTTCTATGTGCAACAGTGTCAAAAGCATTACTGAAATTTAGGAAAGCAATGTCTACTACACCACCCTGATCTATTATTTTAGTTACCCAATCAAAAAAATCAATAAGATTAGTTTGGCATGATCTCCCTGAAGTAAACCCAAGTTGTCTCTGATCTTGAAATCCATGTGTTATTAATGTTCAACAATCCTATCCTTTAACATTGTTTCCATTACTTTCCCCACTACTGAAGTAAGACTAACTGGCTTATAGTTGCCCGACTCCTCCCTACTACCATTCTTGTGAATGGGCACAACATTCGCTACTCCCGCTTCTTTATGTTTCAGTGGACTACAATTCTCCCACACTCCCAGACTCTACTGTAAAGGAGGCGGTGTAGGCATCCTTCTCTCCCCTTAATGTACCTTTTAACCTATCACCCCTGCCTCTGCCCTTTGCTTTACTTCCTTTGAAGTTCACACTGTCCGCCTTTTAAAGCCCACTCCTTTAAGAATTTCCATCATCTATCGCCTCCCTGGTCATCCTAGGCTATTCATTGAACACTTTTCTTCTTGGCTACCCAACTTTCTCTCCTCTAGCACTCCCTGCCTCATACTTGGGGACTTAAACATCCCAATCAACAACCTCAACTGCCCTGATGCCTCC